TTGAAATGGATAAAAATATTTGTCCACAGCCACATGGGTAGGCCTCCCCTATAAGGGCACCAAATGGCAACTTGTCCGTTCGAGGCCATGGATTTGTAGTAGGGTTGAATTGAAGCCTCCATTTGAGCCCCATTATTTGGAGATAATAATATTTTGAATAGTATTTTTTTGAAAAATGAGTGGTTGAAAAAAAAAGAAAAATTTTTTATTTACGTATAATATCATTTTATTGAAGATTATGTGATTAACAATTGGAGTGAGAAAAATTTAATTTAATTTAATGAGAAATAATGGAGGCGGGGCGAAATAGGATTAGGGTTGGCAATGGTTCGGTTATGGGTCGGTTCGGCCAAAATCATAACCGCACCACCAAATTTTTTACCATACCATAACCGCACATAACCACGTAAATTGGTTTGGTTCGGTTCGATTTTTATCTCGGTTCGGCACAATTCGATTCGATTAATAATCACGAAAATAAATTATTTTTTATAAGTTCATCCGTCAAATTGATATAAAACAATTTATGAAAAAGTCAGTGAAAACAAAAACACAATATTCCAAATGAAAATGCAAACATTATCCTAATTTTCAATTGTAAAATACAAATTTAACAAATAATATTATAAATATAATAATACTAAACTTTTTCTTCATTCTTAATTGTTATGTATCGAAGTTACTTAATGCATTCTTCCCTACAAGTCTTACTAACATAGATCAGCATTCAAAGTTGAATCCTATTCATCCTTGGCAATATTGGCACGTCTAGAAAAACATCGAACTCTGTTTTTACATGATCAGCAGTAATAGAATGACTAACAAATGTAACAAATTTTCGAAGGCGACGACGATTTGGACCGTAGAGGCAATGGAGTCGTGCGTGAGTTTGTGATTGTGGAGAGTAGGGTTTGTATTTATATACTGTCATACTAATGCTATTATGGGCTAATGGTAAGTAGACTGGCCCAATGAGTCAGGTAGAGGTAATGAGGAGGGGAGGGATTTTGTTTTGATTTGGATAGAAAAGTAGTGTAAAGCCCATTATCAATTCAAAGTTTATTTTTTTTGTAGCGGGTAATCGGTTCGACGACGTAAATACCATACCCGCACCATTACGAACCGGTTCATTAAAATAAAACTATATACGCCCCATTGCACCATCGGTTCGATTTTTTTCGTCCCATTCTGTTCGATTAACCGCGATTTTCAGTTTTGACGGTTCAAATTGCCATCTCTAAATATGATACTTTTGTGACTTCTTATTTTTTTAATAAAAATTGAAAAGTGGCTATTTTTTACTGAAGAATATCAAAGGCATTTTTCTCCTCCATTTTTTAAATTGTCAATAGCATTCGTATTCTCAGTCGCCGGCATCCACAAATAAGCGTCCGCTGGCTCGTTGAAAGAGGCGGCCCGACGAACATGGACAAACCGCATCATTCAAGCCCGAACCCGAGTCAAGCATCGCCACCCCCGCCGCCGGTGCGCCACCAGAGCGATATGGAGGAAGACGATGAGACGGTTAAGCAGCTGAAAGAATGCTCTTCTCTCTACTTAGCACTGCAGGTATATATGGGTAATATGTATCTATACATACAGTCGCATAGCCTTAGCGTTTTCCATCTTAAACCCTAAACCCTTATAATCCTGTCAATTTACATTGCAGGATTGCCTAATCAAAACCAACAGGAATTGGAAATCATGCCAATTGGGTAATTTCTTTGTTATCCCTACTGTTTATTTTGTAATTATTTTTAATCTCTAATCATTTTACCCTAATTTGTATTCCCTAAACTGTTAACAAACATTACTAATTTTATTTATAAGTGAAGAAACTTACTTGTATTTAGCGTAGTAAAGAAATTACATATCTTTGTCGACGCATGAATTATTATTTGCATTTTATGATTATACATTTTGTTTTAATTTTCTGCTCAATTTATTCTTTTTTGGATCGATTCATGCTGAAATGTCATGTTTATCTCGATAGTATATTAACTGTTGATCTAGATTTTGAATCCTTTTAAACAATCATTTCTACATTTTTTTTTATACTTTTTTATTGGAAAAAATACAGAAGTTCAAGCTTTGAAAGAATGCAATGACAGAAGAAAGAAAGAAGGACAGGATGAATTGAGAAAATAAGCTGAGAAAGTGATAGAGGTCAGAAATTGATGTAAACATTTTCGTAAGTCTGAACTTAGATTTTTTGGCATTTTATCTGTGGTTACGCATTCATTTATCATAGTTCACAGTTCCAGTTCAGTAGAAAGTCCAAACAAGATTGAGAAGTTCAACCACTTGAAATCAATCTTAATGATATGTTATGATACAGAGTTCTATTAATTGTCAACTCCAAATTTTTTTTTATGGGACCAAAACACACTAATTAGTGCAGTTGACAAACTCCCATGTTCCTTTCATTACCGTATATTTAAATAAATTTGTCCAAAGTGCCAAATATACATTTTTGTGTACTGAAGAGTATTAAGATTGCATGCTGTTACTATATATAGGGTTTTTGAGATGTATGAAACTTGGTATCCTTTATCGCTGGGGCGTCCTTGGTATAGGATCCACCGTACATATCACTTATTCGTTTTAATGAGATTCTTAGTATCCTTATGACATACTGCTAAGATTTCAACTGTACAAGCAACAATGCTAAAACAGACAGGACATGGTTTTACTTCTTGTAAAACTACTGCGAAAAATTCACAGGGAAGCGGACTTCATAAGTTCAGAGACTAGAGAATGGAACAAAAAACAGGAAGATTCAACCGTCATCTGTAAAGGGATGCAACTATGTTGAAAAGGCAATTATCTCGTTTGCAAACATAACTGACGGGATTAAATATATGACAGGGTTATCCGAGTTTTCAAGAAACTACTCGAGTTTTAGCAAAAACAACTCTCTGGGGTTGGATCGATTGGTTGAAAGGCCTGAAAGAGAATGTTGTTTTGGTTTTCACCCGTGGACAAACTTGACTTCGTCTGTAGGTGTTTGGAACCCCTCACTTGTGAATAAAAACATGGCTCAAATGAGCACATTTTGATTTTAGTCTTTCCAACTGAATCTGACTGAAATACATTCGGCATAACAGCACATACAATGGATCGACTGTATGTAATCACGGAGCCTTTAATGGCTCCCAGGAGACACTCGAAGAAAGCAAGCCAACCACAGCAAGAGTTAAATTTGGTTGTGGATTTGTCCAGAGTAGTTCATCCACAACCAGTGCAATTATAGATCCCGTCATCATAAAACTTCTTGTACTCTCCAGTGCCACGTGACCTGTAAAAAACTATACTATCAGTGGATGATATTGCATTTGATGAGATTTTAACTTCATTTTCATCTTTCTTATCGTCCTGTTCCATGTACTTCGCCTTTCCAAATAAGTAACTAGTGTTTTAACATATACGACTTGGAAGTGTAAACATGCATTCTTATTAATCCAAAACTACTAATTATTCTCAGCAGTAAAACCATGGAGATCATATCAACCAAGTGTTAAATCTAGCAAAAAATTCTGAAATTCTTTTATTTGTAGGTTCATATATCACACTGAATTGACTCTAAATTTATTGAAATTGTGTATGTACATACTATAGAAAATCAAAGATCCAACTTTCTCGAGGTTATGATGATATTCACTGTTGGGCCTTCATTTTCCAATCGAACATCCTGGAATAAGAAAGATGATATTGTCGAACATTTTAAATACAACTATACCTGTAGAAACATTAAATTGTAATTCAAAATTAGTAAACTTGTCAAGTGGCTTTGCACGTCTAGCGCATGTTTTGTGAGCCATTCGATGCTCTGGTGTCCTAGATGTAGGGTAACGACTCAATTCCATCCCGAACTTGGTAGTTAAAATCTACTACGGTACAATGCTCTAGGGGAGGTCCTGCTCTCCACGGGCACATTTTTTATGTTGCTATTTCGAGAACTATAATTTCTACTTACTCATAGAATCAAGCCCCTACAAAAGGAGAGGAAGTCCACTGAACATTTCAGCCATGGACAGAAATTTCTTCCACATCCAATCCTTTTCCTGTCACCCCAAATAATCTTATCGGGTATGACTACGATCTTTCTACATGATTTTGCAGTTTTCACATTTCTTTCTTTCTTTGAAAATAGAGATGTTTGAGCTAACGTCTTTCAAGGAGCAATAAACTAACTGTACTTGGTAGAACAACATTTGCTAATCCCAATATCAATGGCCATTTTGAATCTTTTTGTAATGATTACCGATAAAGACTAATCTGTACTATGTATATTGACAGGAAGTGTGTTTGAAGCAGATATTACCTTAGGCACGTTGTTTTATTTATTTATTTTCATAATTTGACTTTTTACTCGACAACTATAAATAAATGAAATGATGAAAGCATTCCTGACCAATTATTACTCAATTTCTTCTTCTTCTTTTATTTCTCAAGAAAAAACAATTTTGATACTAATTTTGTATCCTTATAATCCAAATTCTGTGGAACATTGGTAACATTATTGAATCGTTGGATGCAATAATTATAAACGCGTGATTTCCATTCCTGTGTAACCTTAATCAAAATCCATTTGGAAAAATCCTCAATTCCATGAAGACTGTGAAGTTTATTTTCATTATTGAAACTCTAGCTTCAGGTTTAGGAGTTTTTGTGGACATGGTGATGATTGAATTATTTGCGTAGTTGGTTTAAAATTTGTGTGAACGTAGCATTTTCCAAGCTTCTGCCGTTTCCGTTCACTTGTGTGAATGAAAATGGAAGTATTTAACATTTTAATACATTGGCAGATAAACTGCAATTCTTTTGATGTGTTGGGCAGCTTGTGTTAAGATTCATGGCATGATTATGTGGGGGTGCGGAGATCTATACGAACAAAGCAGCTAGCGTAGCAGTGGTTGCCATTCATTTTAAGGGGGGCCCGAATTTCCCCTTTGTTGCTATCTCGCCGGTAATATCTTCACCACATAGTATTGCTATTATGCTTGGCTTTACACCTGATCAATTCGTCCACATTTCAACAATTTAATTCCATGGCAATTTGAATAATAGTTGCTAGGTCTTCAATTAGATTAATAGGTACAGTGGTTCTAAACAAAAGTTCTTAAAATGCTTGAAAAGAATTTACTAAAGACAACTTCACCTTGTTCAATACTGTTAACAGATTATGTATAATGTTATACGAGGCAGTCCAAGGGGACTTCCGGTCAAACTAAATCAACCTGAAGTTTTAAACTAAGTTGGTTACCCTAATAACCTTTCAGTTATTATTATGCTTTTAATTTGCTTCCATCTCTCGACTGGCTCATTTTCCATATGTATGATTGTATGATTAAATGAGCAGAAAAGCCACAGGGGAAGGGAGAACAGCGGTTTGAACATCCCTTAGATGGCAAAACCCCGTGGAAAATACAGTAAAGAATTAGCATCTATAGACCAAGTTGCTTATTTTGTTTCTTTTGCTATTTTTCGATAATCTACTTACAGAGAAAAAAGGAACCTCTCAACCATCTTGGATCTCTTCAACTCTTGGATATTGCTCCTCAATATTGGCATCTCTGCTTGTTGCTATTCGTTCTTGCCTAATTCGAACAGGCACAAAGTAATCTCTTTAGGACAAACATGCCAGATTGTTTTTTAATAGTAAATATGGATATTGCATAATTTCAATTCGTTTGTAGAATATAAGGTTGTTGTCCAGATAGTCCAGTACTAGAACAATGTGAAATCTATGTGTGACTTTAACAATCACGAGGGAAGTAAGTCTCATTTGTAACTTCAAGATCTTTATTTATCAGGAAAAAAAAATTAAATTGATATCTGAGCTTGAAAAGGGAATAAGACTAGTCTTTCATCTTGTTCTCCCAGATGAAGGTAGGGACTTAAGATTTCCTTTTAGGCTGGTAGTTAGACTTGTCCCAGGAAGAATGGTGGGACAGCAGGTAACTTAATTCTTGATTACTGAGCAAAAGACATAATTTAAATAGTGAATTGGGAAAAGATCTGTTATGGATCAAAAGCTACTTATTATTTGCTTATCAAGATCCGGACAAATATATAATAATGCTTGGAATTGCATATGATTTGTCTCCCTACTGTTCAAGTGTGGATATATCATGGGTATTCCCATTTGTCTTTTTTCATTATAGGCTTTGGAAGAAGTTGACAAGAACATGATGACAATGAGAACTATGCTTTCAGGAGATGGTGAAGTTGAACCAAACATGGATCAAGTTTCACAACTCACACTTGAAATCTGTAATGAAGATGTTATATCTCTGTTTATTCACAAGTTATCTATTTTGGGATGGAAAGTAAGTACATAAAATGATCCTGCATTAAATAAAGCAAAAGTGGTGAAATATTGATTAATAGTGGATTAAGCTTATATTCTTGACTAATAATGGATAATCTGTACATAGGCTAGGAAAAATTTGGTCCACTCTTGATCAATATTGTTGAAGCAAAAGGTTGAGTCTGTATGTTGCCTTGTGTTATACATGGAGAACCATTTAGAGTTACTAGACCTCCTAGTAGTCTGGTAAGAGCTGCTAAATCTTTCTCCGCAGTTCACGGAGGCCTTTTATGATTAGGTTATGATTAGGTTTTCATATTTTGATAGGAGAATTCCACCTCAAACTAAAGAAAAAATGTAAGGAAAGACCAGTCGTTGAAATTTATTAATTGTTTTTGAAGAAAAAACTCTTGAACTCTGCCAAATATGTGACAAGAAGGCAATCCTTGAAGGTTACTTATGAGACATGGATAAGCGATCTGTGCTGCATGTGATCATTACTTGACAATATAGCTATCGACAATATAGCATAAATGAACTTTAGCTTCTCTCTGAATTTCTTTTGCAGCCTCCAAGTTCCCATATAAGGAAGCACTATATTGCCGAAGTTCTCCAGTTGAAAGTCATGATGAGATTGCTGAAGGTACTGAATGCTCTCTTCCTGATCTCAGACACTTGTGGGATTATATGATGTCACGATCAATGTGGAATTTTATGATAGTTTAGGTTAATTTATTTATATTCATTACTGTGCTTACGAATTGGAAGAAATGATGGATTGCAACAGTGTGGAAAATGCTTTCAAAGTAACCTGGATTTCTTCCAGAGGTATTCCTCATCTTTTTCTCTTATATAACTCTCTTTGTACAGGATTCAAGCAAAAACATTCAGATATCTGCCTTCCATATTTTCAAGGTAATCAACTTTTCTTCATACTTGTATATTGTTGCCTAGGAATATGCTTATACATGTCCGGGGGTGAAATATGATGAACAGAGGCAGGGGTTCGGGTTGAAGGGTTGCAGTACTTCATTTGATTTGTTAGTTAAACTACAGAAAGCTGTTCGTCAAAGATTTGACTGTTAAAATCTAATCTGAAGCGCATGTAAATGAAGGGAAGTAAAAGTTTGTCACTTTAGTTTCAAATATACAAATTCTTAATCTCTCATACTTTTTGATCATTTCCTGATTAGAAATTTGATGAAAGAAATGACTAATATGAATCCAGGAAGGAGTATTTGGCATGACCTTTTATGTGGAGACACTGAACAAGTTCAAGAGACTTCTTCTTCTGTTCTTTTAATTTCATTTTTCATCACACAGAAATTTATGGAATTCAATATACATTGTTTATCTGTCTGCTTGAAAGACTAATTGATTTGTCGCTACTTTGTATTCCGAGTACTTTATTTAGATGATATATGAATTTGAGGATTTCAAAGAAGGAAATGTTAGAATCATGGAGGCCTAAAATCAAGAACGTTATTCTCATTCAATTGTCTCATTCCTAATTTCTCCTTGAATTTTTACCTATTAAAAAAAAAATCTCGAATTTGATTTTGGCATTTCATTTACAGGTTTTTGTGGCTAATCCTAGCAAACCTCGAAAGATAAAATCATATTGGCAAGGAACCATGAAAAGCTGTTGGCGCTGCTCCACGATCTCTTTCCTGGCAAATGTATTCGTATCTCAGTCCTAAATCTCTCTAACCAATTCACCAGTTTCATGACATAGAGTTGTCCATGATTATATTTTCATTTTGAGGTTGGCTCTTCCTTGTCGAGTTAGCTACTTTGTGTGCCTGCTAATTCTATTAGGTATTGCAGGTGGTGAAGATGATCAATTTGAAGAGGAAAAGGAAATGCTAATCAAGGAAATAGAAAGAGTATCTCGACTACCAAATCTCAATTCCTAAGTACATTTTACTTGATGGATTTATCATGTATTGCGGAGCCATCTGGTTTCAGTCTTCACCTTCTTTATCATTTTTTTTTCAGGTTCGTTAGGTTGGTGGATAATGAGCAACTGAAATTGACTATTCTTTTCTGGTTTTGGATTTGGTTCGAGGGATATGAAAGTATTAATTTACACTTCATTTATATTGCAAAATCACAAAAAGCATAATAGACCAACATTTCACAAGCAATAGATGATTCTAGCCTTGGCACTTGTACAAATTGACAAAATGCCATGAACGCAACCCAACTAATTTGTTGTGCTCAAATCATCCATATTTGTTTGGTATCATTTTCATTTATTTTGCAGTGAACAGATGAAACAAACATCATATATCGGAAAATTAAATTCACACGCTGACAGAAACGATTACATGCATATTACTGTTTCAAGTTTATAGGAACATTTGTAAATCTATAGATAGCAACATACGCACAGGCGCGGACACATGTACAATTTGCATTTAGGTAACTTTTGTACTTACTAAATAAGACCATCTAGGACAAACCAGAGGTCAGGCGGTAACACAGTAACACGTCATCTCAGTTGTTTCCCTGTCTCATCATCCGCAGAATGGTAAGAAATAGGTTGAGAACATCCAGATAAAGAGTGACAGATGCCCAGATGTACTCGTCATATGTGAAGCGCGTGATCAGATTGTCAGTGTCGTAAATTATGTAACCAGAGAAAATTATAGCACCAATTGCACTATAGATAGCAGTAGAGGTAGATCCAAGAGGGAAGAACATCTGCATAACCAGAAAAAAGGGTATATCAGATTATGTAATGGTGAATGTAGCTGTGTTCCTAGATGCAAAAAAGGGGAGAGAGAGAGAGAGAGACACCTGGATAAAACCAGTAAAAACCAGTACAATTAGGCTAGTAAACAAGATTGGTCCAAGATAACTGAAGTCCTGGCCCTTCTTAGAAGCCCAGAAAGTGTACCCGGTCAGAGCCGCAACTACAGCTGATGTCAAGATTAAGGCTTCGAGCACAATTCTTCCTGAGAATTGAAATAAAATTGAATGTAAGGGGAGAAACATGCAATGAATGACCCAAGATTATATCGAAATTCCTAGAAAACCTGCTAACCTTCAGTATTGGCACAGGTCACGCCAACAGTGAGACTCAGAGAAGCAGTAAAGAGCCCAAGGAATACGAAATTCAGTGGGTGCTTTTGTTGATAAATGTGCAAGGGCCACAACACTGCACAAGATCTAGGTTCATTAATAAGAATAATGCGTACGTAAGGCATAAAAATAAAAGATCACATAAATAATAAATCTAAAATTGATTCCCACCTCAGGGACAAATTCTCCTACAGGAACCCCAAGCACAGAAGAAACAAAATTTTATAGAGCACATTGTGCCAGCATACCACCAAGAATGATGTTACCATACCAAAATCTCCGGTAATCAATATTCGCTCAGAAAATTATGCGAAGAATGACACAGAAAAGGCCTTAGCATGGGCACTATGATGTTTTTATCATTTTATGTATCAAGCAATGCATACACACATGAAGAGTCTGCACTTGGATTTAGGAATTAGGATACATGTGAATGGATAACCAGTAGTTGAATTTCACGCACGAAGAAGACTAAGAATGTAAACCGTTTCACCATCCATGTAAAAAGCATTGACTTTTGACTTGAATTATGTATCATATGAAGCCCATTTGACCAAACTAGCCTGCAGATAATTTCCAGTGAATCATAATTAAAACTTGTCACCTTAACCAGATCAAAAACTGTCAACAAAGATAAACCCTTTCTTTCGTAACCCCCAGTGATCTCATTTCACGGTCAAAATGCTTATAAAAACAATCTCTATTTCACGTAAAATCCGCAGTTGACCTTTTGTCTGGTCAAGCATCTATAGAAACTCAATCCTGCTACACAAACAGGCTCAAATCCAGATGGGATACGTGTCGACGCATGATTAGACAGTTTGAAAAATTAAAACAAAAACACCCCATCATTTTTTGACATATCAATCTGTCTCTTCACTCTCTCCCTATATTCATAGAAACTACAAATGTGATGACAAATCCAGAGTGTTTTAAGATGGGACAGATGGATAGAATGACAGACTAAATAGTGACAACAATCTAATTTAAACCACAGGGGCACACATCAGTATAGAGTGTTTTAAGATGGGACAGATGGATAGAATGACAGACTAAATAGTGACAACAATCTAATTTAAACCACAGGGGCACACATCAGTATAGTCAAGTGCAAGAATCGAGATTACGAACATCATGGATACATATGTGTACACCGCAATAGATGTAGGTGCACTGATGGGATCACGAATTGTAAATTATATTTTATGAATTGATAGCCATGAAAACAAAATCATACGTTTACGTAAATACACGGAATTATGTGTATTTTTATTCATAAGCTATTGTATCGCGTGGGTAAAATGAAGAACAAGATCCTGGAAATTGGCATTGCCCCAAAAAGATGTCTATTTTTCCTGTCCTCGCCGGTAGACAAGTGTGACTACATGCATATATGTGCAGAATATCAAGAATTGTACCAAAAAACCTTGAGAATAAATAATATGCTTACAAATGAAGGGAGTGAAGAGGAGGAAGAGCAAAATCCAAGAATTTCCACGGAGAAGGTCATTGATGGGGGCGTAAAGAACAGTCACGGTGGAGACAGCAGTAGTAAGGAGGATCTGGGCAGCCAAAATACCTGTTCAACACAGATTTAAATGAATAATCGCCTCTGATTGTTAAAATTTTAGACGAGATGGTTAATAATACCGTAGACTTTGCGGATGAAACCCCATCGGAGCTGATTCTCGCCGTAGCCGATTCCCGGATACAGTAACCCATCACCGGCCTCAATGTCAATATTATTCTTCATATCATCAACGTCGGAGTAGCCGTTCATCTTGAATGGGATTCTTGATGCTGTGACGAGGGTTTTCTCTCTAGAAAATGCTTGGTTCTCTATGTATGTATATATGCTTGTGTAATGGAAGGGGAATTGGGGTTTCTACGCGTTGTATAACGTTGACACGGTCAGACTCTTTCGACAAGGGGGAAATTGCACTGTTGGTCCTCAAATTTATTATCTGAATAGTACATTAGCCTCTAAACTTTTAAAGTTGTGCGTTAGTCATGAACAATGGAATATATAATTTATTTCCTTAATCTTGCATAAAGATACGGCGATTTGAATTTTCAGTCAACAATCAAGGTAAGAAAAAAGTTTAATTTCATAAAGTTGGATATCCTCTTACATAAACATGTCTTGATTTGAGTACTTGGGGATCAATCCATGTTAAGGAAAAATAATATAACGTTTTAGAGTTGGGGACATAGAATCACGTAGAGATTTACGAAGGATTTGAAATGCTTTTGTGATATTGAATATACAGCTAAAATGAGAAGTAGAGGGGCAA